CCCTCTCCCTTTTCTCCCTTTCCCCTCTCTCTTTTCTCCCTTTCCCCTCTCCTCTCCCACTCCATTTTTCCGTGGGTGCCTCCCGGGCTGTAATTAAGAGCCTCCTCTCCCGTCTGCGGAAGCCGAGGAAAGCCCCTTTCGTCCTCTCTCTCCTTTATAATTTCATTTTTCCCCCCTCCCCGCTCCTCCCCGCAGCGCATAAAGGGATGACAGCGCTCCGAGCCAGGGTCTTTTGCATTTCTGAGTTGGTTCTGTTAATTGGAAGGAGGGTTAAGAATCTGCAAGGTCGTTTCAATCTCCATCTGACCTTCAGAGTAATCCTCTATGCCAACACCAGAGCTTGTCATTAAAATGAGGCCCCTCTTCCATATCCCGGCATCCCTTTATTCTCTCCTTGTGCACATTAATTGCTCATAAGTTGATTTGATCTCCCTATTCTGCAAGAAGTAAATTGCCCTCTTATTTCGCCATTTTCATCCTGTTTTCTTAATTAGGCCCTTAAAAATCTCTAGGGCCTCAGCCGGGCCGCGGGCCTCATCCTGGGAATAAATTTTGATCTCAGCCTGATAAAGAGTGAGCAAAGCCCGAGCTGGAACAATGTCATTGGCTCCGCTCCCTCCCCACACGAATTCTCCTGACATGAAAAGGCTATCAGTTTTTCTCTGTGCTAATATAGGAAATAATTCACACTCCAGGCGTTGTTCTCTATTTAGTGTTCACACTCCCCTGATAAATCAAATCAGGGATTTTTTTTTAATTTTTTTTTTTTTCTCTCTCTAAAGTGTCTGGAACCACTTGCTCCTTCTCCCCCGCCCTCACCACCTTCAGCCTCTTCTCACTTTTTTTTTTCCCCTCCTTCTCCTTTTAATAAAGTTTCCAAGATAAACCCCTGTGATTTTCCAGCCTGGGAAGTCTAATTTAAGGTGGATTTTCTTGCTTTTTTCCCCCTCCTGTGTGTGTTTAACACCAGCACCGAGGGAAGTGGGAACCTGGCACGTGGCTGAGGGGCTGCAGATTAAGTTTTGCCAGCCACGGGCTCAGCAGGACACTTTAAAAAGTAATTTTTTTTTTTTTCTCCTTGCACTGGGCAGGAGAATCCCCAAAACTTGCCTGACCCAAGGTCCCAATGCCCAGAGACTGCTGCTGATCCAAACCTCCAGGACAAAGAAGAAGCTGCCACGCTCCAGGATGTTGTAAATAAATATATTTTTAATGATTCTTCTTCCATTCCAGTTCATTCTTTTATACATTTATTTATAAAACAGTAGTAAAATTTTTTTAATCAGAGCACAGTGCATTAAAAAAAAAAAAAAGAAAAACAAACAAAACTCCCAAAAAGATTAAAAAAAAAAAAACCCAGTAATTATAATCCACAACTGTTTACTCACAGCCAGGGGAGACATCTCGTGCTGAGCAGTGGCCGGGCCTTGCCCGTGGGCACCACGAAGCCACAATAATCCGAATTTCCCGTGGGATTTCGTGCCCTGAGCGCCCACCCAGCCCCTCTGGAGGGCTCAGAGCCGTGGCTCTCCCACGCCCCCGGGTCCCCAGCAGGGCCAGGGGTGGCCCTGGTGGGGACAACTGTGTTTCCAGGCACTGATGGCAGCACACAAAGGGTGCCAAGGCCTCCTGTGAACCCCCCGGAGCCCCTTCAGCCCTGCCAGGAGATGCCCTGGACCCTTCCCCAGGTGAGCACCTGGAGCCCCTCTCCTGTCACCCCGTGTCCCCTGGGGTCCCGTCCTGCTCCAGCTCCTCCTCCTCTTCCTCCCCACCTTCTGCACTTCCCCGCACCCTCACGGCCCCAAATCGACCCCTCTGTGGGGCTGTCCCCACCTCCCACCCCAAATCTGCCACCTCGGGGCAGCTCTGTGCCCCCAGGACACCCGCTCCAGCATGGGGGGCTCAGTGACCCCCCAGCCCGGCGGGGACAATCACCACGGGGTGACATCTCCTCTGCAGCCTCCTCTCCCTCACTAAACCCACGGGGGATTTTCCATCCTGCCCTTCCCAGCTCCCTCCTGGGGAGTCGTGACCCCAAAGCAGCTCCCCAGCACGGAGCCCTGCAGCAAATTGGTGCCACTGGGAAGAGCAAAGCACCCCCGAAATTCCCAGCTCGGGCTTGGCAGCGGGCACAAACCATTCCTTGCAGCTTCATGCCCATGCGTGGGGCAGGACTTGGGAGAAAAATCCCCAAAAACGGGAGTGAAAAACCCTTTTATCCCGCCAGGGAAGAGCTGGGGGTGTCCCGGGGACATCTCGGGGTCACCTGGCAGCCTCGCCTGGAGGTTTTGGGGTGGTGGGTGCTGCCCCACAGGGTGGGGGTGGCAGCAGGGGGTCGGTGGAGCATGGACCCCCCCCATTCCAATTCCAGACGTTGTGGAGACCTTCCACACCCACCTGCAGGCGACACCCCCTTAATGAACAGGCGCTAATTAACGCCTTGTCACCCTCCTGAGACCCCGGAGGCGGTGGGTGCTCCCAGCAAGGAGGAGCTGGATGGACTGGGAAGCACCCAGGGGCTGGGGAGGGCTTGGTGGGGATGAAGGATCCCAGAGAAGGCGAGGAGACACCAAGCTGGACACCAAGCAGGACACCAAGCTGGACACCAAACTGGACACCAAGCTGGACACCAAGCTGGACACCAAACTGGACACCAAGCTGGCAGCATCGTCCCGGGGGCTCTGGGGAAAGGGGGTGAGGCCAGGAGGGCTCTGCTGAAAGGCAAAGCAGCCCAGACGTCGCTGCCAGGCTGTGGGATCTGAGGGATCTGAGGGATCTGCAGCCAGGCTGTGGGTTCCACAGCCAGGTTGTGGGATCTGTGAGATCTGCAGCCAGGCTGTGGGATCTGTAGGATCTGTGGGATCTGTGGGATCTGAGGGATCTGCAGCCAGGCTGTGGGATCTGTGGGATCTGCAGCCAGGCTGTGGGATCTGTAGGATCTGTGGGATCTGTGGGATCCACAGCCAGGCTGTGGGATCTGCAGCCAGGCTGTGGGATCTGTGGGATCTGTAGGATCTGTGTGACCTGTGGAATCTGTGTGACCTGTGGGATCTGAGGGACCTGTGGGATCTGAGGGACCTGTGGGACCTGTAGGATCTGTGGGATCTGTGGGACCTGTGGGATCTGTGAAATCTGAGGGACCTGTGGGATCTGCAGCCAGGCTGTGGGATCTGTGGGATCTGTGGGACCTGTGGGATCTGTGGGATCTGAGGGACCTGTGGGATCTGTGGGATCTGAGGGACCTGTGGGACCTGTAAGATCTGTGTGACCTGTGTGACCTGTGGGATCTGTGGGATCTGAGGGACCTGTGGGATCTGCACTCAGGCCAGCGCCACGGCGAAGCCAGCAAGGTCCATTCCCCTCTCCTGGCCAAAAGAAGCTGCGAAGGGCACGGCGGCGCCCGACCCGAGCCCCGGTTGCATAGAGAAAGGAACTGCAGGGGAGATCCGGTGCGTGGGGGACGGGCTCCTCCTGCCAGGGGTGTCCTGGGGCTGGCCCGGCCGAGCTGCCCCGGCTGCTCCCCTCACAGCATGTCCGCGTCCTCCATGCTGAAGCTGCTGCGGCGGCTGCTGCCCTTGGAGGCCTCCGGGGACATGGCCGAGAACAAGGGGTCAGAGGCCAGGGGCAGCATCGTGTCCTGCAGCAGCATCAAGTCCAGCTCCTTCTTGGACAGGGACGGGAAGGAAGCGCTGTCTGGAAAACCCTGGGAGCCGTCCTCGAAGCTCAGGCTGTGGGTAAAGTCCAGCTGGTGGTAGGGAGACTGGGG